TCACATTTGACGGCATTGCCATACTTACTCCAAGGTTGGTTAACTGCTTTTCATGTCATATTCATTATTATTGTTATCTGTTTTTTGCTTCAGAGTGATTGACATGTGCCCATATGCTGCAGGGGTCGTTACAATGTGGAGCTTCATCTCTCATTCTTGCGCTTGCAAGGGCAAGCCAATGACTTTAAAATTCAGTACAGCAGCGTAGTCCGTATTTTTTTGTTGCCGAAGGTTAATTCTATGTTCCATCCCCCATTTAGCACCTACATCAATGTTTTAGTTATGCCTACCCCTTTTAATTCCTTCATGCAGCTTTCTGAAATCGTCTTCATTGAACTTTTAAGCAAGCATTGTATAATTGACATGACTTCTCTGCTTTGCAGCATAACCAACCACACACTTTAGTAGTTATCACTCTTGATCCTCCGATTAGGAAGGGCCAAACTTTGTATCCGCACATTGTATTGCAGGTATTGATTGATGCATATTAGATAATGACGTACATTCTGTTTTGGTATCAACTTGCTGCTTCTTTGTCTTACCAGTTTGAGACGGACAATGTGGTAGACCTTTCACTGGCTTTAAGCGAAGACCTTCTGAATACAAAATACAAGGAGAGGCTGCTAACGGGTTACAAAGTAATAGTTTTTTTTGCGTTTATAGTCGTTTGGATTTGCAGCAACTGTGAAAATAGAAATGCAAGTTCATTGTTTGTCTAAAAAAAAAAAGAAATGCAAGTTCATTGTATTCACGTGTTTGGTGTTGTTTACTTTTTAGCATTTAATTATAATTTTACTTATGAACCAGGGTCTTATCCATGACATCTTTACTCAAATTTTACGCGGCTTGTCTGGTTCCAAAGTTACTAAACCAGGGAAGTTCCGTAGCAGTCAAGATGGGTATGCGGTGAAGTCCTCATTAAAGGCTGAAGATGGACTCCTCTATCCTCTTGAGAAGAGTTTCTTCTTTTTACCTAAACCTCCAACTCTTATACTGCATGAGGAGGTAAATTCAAATTTCTGTAAAGCTCAATCTTGTGAGATACATCTTCATTCTTGAAAAACTGACCTATTTCACTATGCAATTAGATTGATTATGTGGAATTTGAGAGGCATGCTGCGGGCACGGCCAACATGCATTACTTTGATCTTCTCATCAGACTGAAAACTGAACAAGAACATCTTTTCCGGAATATCCAGAGAAATGAGTACCACAATCTTTTTGATTTCATCAGGTTAGCTTTACATGCAAGCCTTCTCTCTCAATTTGGGTTTAACAATTCTTCTTAGTCTTTCTGACACAATCATTGAGTAATGCAGTGGAAAGGGTCTGAAAATAATGAACCTTAATGAAGCTCAGGCTACAGAAGGTGTTCCTGTTTTGCCCGATGATGACGATGATGCTGTTGATCCACATCTTGAGCGTATTAAGAATGAAGCGGGTGGGGATGACAGTGATGAAGAGGTAAACGTGCCTATTTGTAATTTCATTGTCTTCAACTCCATGGTCGTCTCTCTAAGTCATCCTCAGTGTGTCTTGTTGGATTCTAGTATCTTTGCTTACCCTTTGTGTTGTTGGAAATTCTTGAAATGCTGTCTGACATTCATAACCTTTCCAGGACGAAGATTTTGTCCTCGATAAGGATGATGGAGGGTCTCCTACTGATGATTCTGGAGGTGATGAATCTGATGCCAGTGGTAGTGGTGGTGAGGAGGAGGTATAATTGCCCTTTCACGTTTATATATTTTCAAGTTCTTATCTACAAAATTGGAAAAATATGAGCATTCATGTATGGTGGCTTCAGAAACCTGCAAAGAAGAAGCCAAAAAAGGAGGGTACTGTTTCAAAGCCATCTACAAGCAGGAAAAAGACAGATGATGATGGATCGAAGAAGAAAAAACAGAAAAAGAAGAAGGATCCAAATGCTCCGAAGAGGGCAATTAGTGCTTTCATGTACTTCTCGCAGAGTGAAAGGGAGGTAGGTATTCTGTTACATGATTTCCTTCTTAGTAAACCAATGACTTCTCCCGTGTTCTGTGGTCTGTATCCCAGTTTTTTATGTTGAGAGTTATTGAAACATATAATGTTCATTTTGAAGAAAACAAGTCTTCATTCCCCATCAGATGAATAAAAATAGGCACCCAATGCAGCGTATCTAAGTCTAGCTTTCCTCACATGAATGTATTTGGAGTCTGAGCTACTCAAAACAACTGATCCATGCATCATCGTATTATTAACAACTAGAAAATCTAGTCCATCATCAAGCTGATAAAATCGTAGTAGACTTAAAAGTGCCAGGGCCCATAATCCCATATTAGGGTCCCTTTATTTATAATATAAATCCTGATATAATTGAGTTCCTTGACCCTTTGGGGTGGCCCAGTGGTTTGGGCTTGAGACTTCCATGGTGGAGGTCTCAAGTTTGAAACCCCTTGCCAGCGAAAGCAAGGGGTTTGCCTTCTGGGTCACGCTCGTCGTACTGGGCTTGCCTAGTGCGGGTTACCTCTCCTATGTGGTTTGCGAGCTATAGCATAGGAGGGGGGTTTTTTACTCTGTGCGCACCCAAAGGGTAGCGGCTGCGGGTTTCCCTTGTCATCAAAAAAATAATTGAGTTCCTTGAACCGGTGCCTTTCATGGGCATTTCATCCTAATAGAGGCATTCTGGGTGGTAGATTCATTTCCTAAGTTGACAATTTTTTTGAGTCCTTGAGGACAATGACATGTCTAGATAGTCTTCTGTTCTACAAGTGAAAAGGGCTAATTCCTAGTGCAGGGTTGACTGAGAGAGACTTGGTGTCCTTACAGAGTAGAATGCTCGGAGGTGGAAGAGAAAATAGGGACCACATTGCTTTTTAATGAGATGGGAGGCTCCTTGTGATGGGCGTCACTTAGGCCCAAGATCTAAATTTAACTAAGTTTATTACTCCCTCCATCCAACAATAGTTGTCCACTATACTATTTTAGGACATCCAACAATACTTGTCCACTTTATGAAATTAATGGATAATTTTATACTTAGTTCCTAATTTACCCTTATCATTAATTGTAATCATTTCCTATTATATTTTTCAAGGTATTGTATTTATTATATTCAAAGGGTGATATAGTAAAATTACCCTTCTATTTATAGTTTCTTAAAGGGTATGTCAAGTCAATAGTGGACAACTATTGTTGGGCAGAGCAAGTATAATTTTCTGGTTTGTTGGAAATTACACCCACATGCTGTTACCGTATTAGCCTGCTTCTTTTTTGAGTTGGTGTGCTTTCTTGCTTTGAGATACCTTTCAAGACTCATCATGGTTGTAACGTTCCATTCGCTTCCCTTCCGTTTTTTGTAGAATGTGAAGAAAAGTAATCCTGGAATTGCCTTCACTGAAGTAGGGAGGGTTCTTGGAGAGAGATGGAATAAGCTGTCAGGTTGGTTGTTTTTGTGGCTTTCGGTATTTATCTTATTTGCTTCATTATTTTATATTTAAGGGTGGTTGATACAATGCTCGTCATGTTTGTTGCAGTCTGTTTTGTGTTTTTATTTTCTTTGTTATATTATATTTAAGGGCAGTTGATACATTTATTGGCTCACTTGCTGTATTAATGACTTTGCAGCTGAGGAGAAAGAACCCTTTGAGGCCATGGCCAAGGCAGATAAGAAACGCTACAGCGAACAGATCAGTGATTACAAGAACCCTCAGCCGACTGTCGTGGATTCAGGGAATGAATCTGGGAGTTCTTAAGTGCAAAATCAATTTAGATAGAGTGTGGGAACTTAGAAGGTCGACATGCCTAATCAGCAATCGTGGTTCATATTTGGAAGTCCTTGCTGCTAACGTTTATGTGAAGCTCAAGTTTTGGGAAAGTTGAGAAAATAGGTTTTGTGAGGCACTTTTAATCAACAGCCTAATGAAATATAATTGTTCGTGATATTCCGGAGTATTCTAGATATTCCTCTATGATGTGTAGCATAATTTAGGAGCTACGTAAATTCTACTTAACCTGCGTTTTCCGGATATAAAAGGTAGCTTTATAATTTGATGTGCTTTTTATTAGAGATGTCTCTAGGAATTGAAGTTTATGTGTTCCTATTTATAGTTATTATCAATTGAAATCATAGCCAATATAACACTGCAGATCTGTCCATCACCTTTACTTGATTAACACAGCCAATAATTTGTTGTTACACCTTGTAGCCGAAGCCCGAATGTGAAATTTTGTGGAAGGCAGGAGGTTTGTATAATGTCGTGGACTTGGACATCAATCTCTTCCCAAAATGATTAAAAGCCACAGTAATTTGCATCTTTTTATCAATTGAAGAACTGTCACTCGCACCAAAAAGCATCACTTGGTTATGTTCAGTGAAATAGCTATTCGAAATGGTAACATCAGTGGATCCCTCCACAGCATCAACAATCCCGTCCTAACAACTCCACATTGGCACATGATCCACCAATATAGTCGATCAACCAAGTATCGAAATACCATCTCTATTGATCTGTGTCCGTTGTCCAATGTGGTCCACCACGTCTCTGATCATCCCACCATTGCCTACCACAATGTTGTGAATGCGCAGTCCGTGAACGATCACGTTTTTCACCATAGCCTATCACAATGTCGTGAATGCGCAGACCGTGGAAGTCACGTTATTCATGTAAGAATAATACCTGTCCAGACTTAAAATAATTTACGATTTCGCTTGGTATTAGCTGATTAAGAAGGCTCTGGTTTTTTTTAAAAATAAATAAATAGTTTAGATAGAAATGTTGAAATTGATATTTAGTTAATTGATAATAAGGCACTTTTCGATTAAAATGACCAAAATGTCCCTAAAACGGTTAAATTGATAATAAGTCACTTTGCATGAAAAATAAATAAAAATTTGCTTAGCAAATGCAAGAGTAACATTAATCGGGTCGGGAATTCATCTGCTTCCAGGGCTTTCCTCCTCCACACCTCATCATTAATCCCTTCCATGACATGATAACTTCTCTTTGTGAAAATTGAGTAATATGATTGTTCGTGACAAAATCATGCCTATGGCTGGTGAGGAAGGTGTTGTCACATTTGGCGGCATTGCCATACTTCAAGGTTGATTAAGCGCTTTTCATGTTGTTATCTGTTTTTTTGCTTCAGAGTGATTGACAATGTGCCCATATGCTGCAAGGATCTTTACAATGTTGAGCTTCATCTCTCATTCTTGCGCTTGCATGGGCAAGCCAATGACTTTAAAATTCAGTACAGCAGCTTAGTCCGTACTTTTTTGTTGCCAAAGTTGTTCCCCATTTAGCACCTTTATCTATGTTTTAGTTATGCCTACCCTTTTGAAAACGTCTTCATTGAACTTTTAGGCTATTGTATAATTGAAACTGACTTCTCTGCTTTTGCAGAATAATCAACCACACACTTTAGTAGTTATCATCCTTCGATTAGGAAAGGCCAAACTTTGTATCCCCGCATTGTATTTGCAGGTATTGATTGATGACGACGTACATTCTATTTTTGGTATTTACCTGCTGCTTTTTTGTCTTACCAGTTTGAGGACAACGTGGTAGACCTTTTGCTGGCTTTAAGTGAAGGTCTTTTAAATATGAAATACAAGGAGAGCCTGTTAATGAGTTACAAGGTAATTAGTTTTTTTTTTTGCGTTTATAGTCATTTGGATTTGCATCAACTGTGAAAAAAGAAATGCAAGCTCATTGTATTCACGTGTTCAGTGTTGTTTACTTATTAGCTTTTAATATGACTTATGAACCAGGGTTTTATCCATGACATCTTTACTCAAATTTTACGCGGCTTGTCTGGTTCCTAAGTCACTAAACCAGGGATGTTCCGAAGCAGTCAATATGCGGTGGAGTCCTCACTGCAGGCTGAAGTTGGACTCATGTATCCTGCTTATACTGCATGAGGAGGTATATTCACGTTGCTGTAAAGCTCAAAATCTTGTGAGTATCATCTTCATTCTTGAAAGTCTGACCTATTTCATTATGCAATTAGATTGATTATGTGGAGTTTGAGAGGCACGCTGTGGGCACGGCTAACATGCATTACTTTGATCTTCTCGTCAGACTGAAAACTGAACAAGAACATTTTTTCCAGAGCATCCAGAGAAATGAGTGCCACAATTTTTTTATTTCATCAGGTTTGCTTTACTTTTAAGCCTTCTTCACTCTCAATTTGGGTTTAACAAGTCTGCTTAGTCTTTCTGACATAATCATTGAGTAATGCAGTGGAAAGGGTCTGAAAATAATGAAGCTCGGGCTACAGAAGTTGTTCCTGTTTTGCCCGATGATGACGATGATGCTGTTGATCCACATCTTGAGCGTATTAAGAATGAAGCAGGTGGGGATGACAGTGATGAAGAGGTAACCATGCCTATTTGTAATTTCATCGTCTTCAACTCCATGGTCATCTTTCTCTAAGTCATCCTCTGAGTGTCTTGCTGGATTCTAGTATCTTTGCTTACCCTTTGTGTTGTCGGAAGTTCTTGAAATGCCATCTGACATTCATAACCTTTTCAGGATGAAGATTTTGTCCTCAATAAGGATGATGGAGGGTCTCCTACTGACGATTCTGGAGGGGATGAATCTGATGCCAGTGGTAGTGGTGGTTAGGAGGAGGTATAACTGCCCTTTCATGTTTATATATTTTCAAGCTCTAGTTTACAAATTGAAAAATTATGAGCTGCCAATCATGTATGGTGGCTTCAGAAATCTGCAAAGAAGAAGCCAAAAAAGGAGGCTACTGTGTCAAAGCCATCTACAAGCAGGAAAAAGGCCGATGGTGATGCATCGAAGAAGAAAAAACAGAAAAAGAAGAAGGATCCAAATCCTCCGAAGAAGGCAATTAGTGCTTTCATGTACTTCTTGCAGAGTAAAAGGGAGGTAGGTATTCTGTTACATGATTTCCTTCTTAGTAAACCAATGACTTCTCCTGCGTTCTGTGGTCTGAATATAATGTTTATTTTGAAGGAAACAAAGTCTTCTTTCCTAATCAGAAGAATAAAACTAAGTAGCTAATGCAGCGTTTCTAAGTCTAGCTTTCCTCATATGAATGTATTTGGAGTCCGGGCTACCAAAAGTCCAAAACCACTAATCCATGCATCATCATGTTATTAACAACAAGAAAATTTAGTCCATCATCAAACTGATAAAATCGTACTCTAACTTAAAAGTTCTAGAGCCCATAATCCCATTCTAGTATCCCTTTATTTATAAATCTTGAAATAATTGAGTTCCTTGAACCGGTACCTTTCATGGGCATTTCATCTAAACGAAGGCATTCTGGGTAGTAAATTTACAAAGACTGAAAGGCATGGATGGATAAGAACCAAGATAGACATAGCCTTCCGTTCTACAAGTGAAAGGGGATTGTTCCTAGTGCAGGGTTGACTGAGAGACTTAGTGGCCTTACAGAGTAGAGTGCTTGGAGGTGGAAGAGAAAATAGGGACCACATAGGTGATTAATAAGATGGGTGGTCTCCTTGTGATGCTTGGGCAATCCCTCCTCCCTTTGAGCTTAGGTGTCAGTTTGGCCGAAGGCCTAAATTTAACAAAGTTTATTATAATTAGTCTGGTTTGTTGGAAATTACAACCACATGCTGTTACTGTATTAACCAGCTTCTTTTTTGAGTTGGTGTGCTTTTTTTGCTTTGAGTTACCTTTTGAGTCTCATGATGGTTGTAATGTTCCATTCACTTCCCTTCCCTTTATTTTTGTAGAATGTGAAGAAAAGTAATTCTGGAATCGCCTTCTATGAAGTTGGGAGGATTATTGGAGAGAGATGGAATAAGCTGTCAGTTTGGTTATTTTTGTGGCATTCTGTTATTTATCTTATTTGTTTCATTATTTTATATTTAAGGGTGGTTGGTACAATGCTCGTCATGTTTGTTACAGTCTATTACTCCCTCCGTCCACTTTTGTCTTGTTGCGCTTTTTGATAGTCAATTTGACTAATTTTCAAAGTTAGTACTATAAATTGCAATTTTTTGCATATCAATATTTCATCATAAAATGTTAGTCAAAGTTCTTATAGTTTGACTCTAAAAAAGGAAACCATGACAATTAAAAATGGACGGAGGTAGTATGTTTTTTTTTTTCTTTAGTTATCTTATATCTAAGAGCAGCTGATACATTTATTGCCTCACTTGCTGGATTAATGATTTTGCAGCTGAGGAGAAAAAACCCTTTGAGGCCATGGCCAAGGCAGATAAGAAGTGCTACAGCGAACAGATCAGTGATTACAGGAACCTTCAGCCGACTGCCATGGATTCAGGGAGTGAATCTGGGTGTTTTTAAGTGCAAAATCATTCAGATTGAGTGTGGGAACTTAGAAGGTCCACGTGCCTAATCAGCAATTGTTGTTCGTAGCTGAAAGTCCTTGCTGCTAACGTTTATGTGAAGCTCAAGTTTTGGGGCAGATGAGAAAATAGGTTTCTTGAGGTACTTTTAATCAACAGCATAACTAATATAATCCTGACATTCTGGAGTATTTCTAAATATCCCTCAGCATAATCTAGGCGCTACGTAAATTCTCCTTAACCTGTGTTTTCACTTTTCAGGATATAAAAAGTTTAGTTTTATAATTTGGCGTGCTTTTTACCAGAGGTGTATCTAGGATTTGTGTTTCGGAAGAAATGGAGAGGCTAACAACAATTGTTTAACTGTTATAAGCCATTTAACAATTAGTAAGCAATATACAATCTTTTTACATTTTTGTACCATTAGCAGGTTGATAATTGCGAATCAACAAAGTTATAGTTTTTTTTATCATTACTTTACAGATGAAGATAGTAATTGCTTTCAACTAGCTCTCCCTAGAATCCCTCCTCCCTTTTAAAGCAGATGCTAGTTTTAGGGAAAAACGAGTAATATCCATCCCAGATAGAAGAAAATATGAAATAACATTGACACAGTTGTATAGCTTGGTATGAATTTGCATCTTTTTGATTTCATTGTTCTTTTGTAGTCCTTAACAATTCAAAATTACAAAGAATTTTGATACAATAAATGTATACAAAGTTAGTTTAAGGATATATGATGAGAATGAGTTTGCTTTGGTGATAATATGTATAGGACAATAACTGTCTAACAAGCTTCTCCTGGCTTGCAATTTAGTGCCCCTGAAAATCTTGTAATCCAAGTGACTTGATCCCCTGAGGCTGATACAATCCCATCAAAAAGCTCAGTGTGTTTCTTGGTCCAATCTGGATCTCCAGATTCAACAAAGAATGCTCCATTCATGAATAGATCACCTTGTGATCTCCATGACCATTGTTTCCACACTGATTCTGGGGAATAGTCCCTCTTTGTTACCTCTTTCTTGAACATGTCAGGAGGAGCAATGAAACGATTACCTTGACTAATAATAGTGGGATGTTGGCTACCACCAATAGCATACATATTCCAATGTGTGTAGTCATTGTTAACCACATGAATAAAACCCCATCTGCACCTTGGCATTCTCTGTATCAATCTCTTCCCAAAATGATTATAAGCCACAGTAATTTGCATCCTTTGATCAATTGAAGAACTGTCACTTGCACCAAAAAGCATCACCTCATTATGATCAGTGAAATGGCTATTCGATATGGTAACAGCAGTGGATCCCTCCACAGCATCAACAAGCCCATCATAACAACTCCACATTGACACATGATCCACCCATATATTCGACGAACCAAATATAGAAATACCATCTCCGTCGCTCTGTGTCCGTTGTCCAATGTGGTCCATCGCGTCTCTGATCATTCCACCACTGCCCACCACAATATCATGAATTCGGAGACCGTGGATAATCACGTTCTTCACATACTGGAGCATGAAACCTGTCCAGACATAATATATAATATAAGATTTCACGTTTTTCTTTTATAAATATTTAATTGCAAACTCAATAAATACCTGCTCCATTAGCAATGTGAACGTTAACTCCGCGGCCATCAATGGTCTTATCGCTTTGCACTATGAGTTCCTGGTGTAGCCTAATGGTCATGCTTTTAGCAAATATGATCCATAATGGCTCCTTTTGAATGACACCATAACGGAGGGTTCCCGGATTAGGGTCGCTAGTGTCGTCGGAAGAATCCGTGACGACGTAGATCTCGCCGGCTTTTCCGCCGGTGGTCCCTTTTGCAAATCCCATTGCACAATCAGCTAATCTTTTCCGATTGTCGGCCCAATTAGGTTGGCATCTCCAGCACCTATCAATTGGGTTGGTGACTAAGCAAGGCCCATTGTATTTTTTCCCGCCTCCTTTTAACTCCCTCCTTGTTCCATTTATTGCCAGCTTCGCTTCCTTGATTTCCTTTAAGGCCCTGTTTTATAGTGTTTTAAATTAGAAAGGTCACCATTAAAGTCAAGAAATTAAATTGTTAGCCAGTTTTAGTGAGCGTTTGATTGTGAATTTTGTGTAAAATATAGCTTTAAAGTTGAAGCTGTTCTTGAATTTTTCTAAGTTGTTTGAAGTGAAAATAGGTTTATGTTGTTTTTCAAATACTTTTCTCGAGTTGAGTTCCAAAATAATATAATCAAATGTGATTATTCAAGTTCAATTATGAAAAAAGTGAAGTATTCATGGCCAAACACCTTGGCGCTAATCCTAAGAAAATAATGAAAGCGTTTGAAGTGCGAGAAGCAAGCGTTCTTCGGGATTTCTTAATCTTTTAATATTAAATAAGATGATAAAATATAGATGAAAGAAAAAATGTTTTTACTCTCAATGGATAACTGAAGATATATTTGTAAAATTTAGGGGAAAGAAAGTTGTAGAAAAAAAAAACAGTAAAAAATTGAAGCACAGACCAAAAATATCTTTTATGTGTAAATGTCACCTAATTAAAATACTATATTTGCGAGGCTTACAAGGATCAAAAACATTTTAAAAAGAGAAAATAGATTGGGAGGAAATTAATTAACGTACTGTCCAGTTTGCTTAGCAAATGCAAGGGTGACATTGATCGGGTCGGGCTTGTAAGCCTTTATGGCCCATTCATCTGCTTCCTGGGCTCTCCTCCTCCACACCTCATCAAACTCACCAATGTGACCATTTATTGCCAAAAATGTGGAAAATAGTAACAGAGACAAATATACCAGCTTAGTTCCTCTCATTTAAAGATTTTATGATAATTTAACTAGTTTAAGTTTGTATGTTTTTTTCTAAAAAAATGAAAGAAGGTCTTAATTGGGTCAAACCCTTTGGCTTTTTAGAGGTGAGACCCTCTTTGTTGTAGCCTAAAAAAGCAACAACGTAAAGAGATGTGTTTTTTGTTGATGGAAAAATGTAGTTTAAATACTAAATAAATGCTAATAGACAAATAGCGTAAAATGCGCATAGCCATTATCTTTCAAAGGCAAATAACTTATACAAGTGCATGGCTGGTTAATTAAAAACTTAAGGTCCAAAAATGCCCGAAGATTAATTCTTCCACTAAAAACATTAATTAGTTGGTTGATAGTCTTTATATACGTATAAATCATGCATTAGACGTAGATGAAAAACTACATATATATATATGGTCTTAAAAATGAAGAAGGGGATAAGGATGTAGTTAGGGCATTTCAAGAGTTGTAGAAATTTTGAGAATTTTATTGAAGGTGCATAAATATTGCGGAGGTTACATACTTACTATTCTAGACAATCATATCTGATTTGTTGACAATAACTTTGGAGAAATCAAACTTTCTGTATAAACAAAACCATCTTGAATGCTACTTGCATGTATATAATGATCACAATGAAGAGGCCATATTCGATTGTTTGATTCAAGTGATACATTATGCGTCCTATATACCATTCCATCCCAACAAAAGTAGCTAAGTAGCACTTCATTAACTGAAAACCTATATATTGGTATGATAACATAATCTCGAACAATCTTATAACTAATTGGTATTGTGAACCATTTCGTCCAAGATTCTTTAACACCATAGTCTTTCAGTACCCATATATCAAAATTTTCATGCTTATGATAAAGAGAGAGTTTTCCTCCCAACACTGATATACCCATTTCAACGAGTCTACCCACTTCAACGAGTCTAGGGAAGGACAGAATCCCTGGCAACGGTATCTCTCCATACATCTCATTTGAGATATTAAATGAAACCACGGAATCCCTTGGGCAATGACCGATCCAGTGAAATGCTCCATGTAGAAATGCCAAACATAATTCCCTATCAGGTATTTTAGTGAAACTCATCCTATCTGAGGTTTCTTCAATTTGTCTCCAGGAACCACTTTTAAGTGCTAGAATTTCATCGGGTATTTCGTCATGCGTGTCAATCCTAAGGATTTTATAGTCATCACTAGTAGCGTCATATCCCAATCCATAAACATATTCCTCTCGTGGTGGAATTTTTACATGGCTTGGAAGTATTATTGACTCTCTTGTGGAAGGGTTCCATAACAATAATATGGATGGCTCTACTTCTTCATCATTCCAATAAATCCAAAACCCGATAAAAAATAAACCATCACAACAACAATAGACTCTACCATCAATAGGTTTACAGCTTGACGGGTAATCAAGTCGGCGTATATCCTTAACAAGTTTAGACGACGACGATAAAGAAGAAGTATACAAGTTAAAAGAATTACTGTACTTACCGTGCGGCACTTGGGTAATAAGCAGTTTTTGGGAATTTTGATTCTTGGCATGAGTATTGAGATGTTTCTTTATAAAGTAAGGTTCAGATATTAATGTATTCCAAGACTTTGAAACACACTTGAACCGAAGAAGAGACTTCACGGATAGCCTGCTAAGGATGTCTATAATTATTTCTTCGTGACTTCCCAAAAGTACAAATTGATTTAGGGTACAGAAGAAGAAAAAAACGAAGATGGAAAAAGAAAGCCTCAAATAGAGAACAATTTATAGATTTGAGAAGGCCAACAAATTAAACTGTTAGATTCCTAGATATAAAATTTGATTCCCAATAGGAGACTCGAATCGTAAGCAAACCTCACTCCAACCTGAAGGTTATGAGTTTGAGTCACCCTAAAAAAATTCTCAATAGGATTCCGCCTTCTGCAAGGACTGCTCACCATAAACCCTTGTGTTGTTTATGATAGTAGTTTAATAGAAAAACAAATTTTATTTCAAGTTCATTGATTCGCCCCTACCCCAATGTTCTTAACCCTCACCACTTGATCGCTCCCCACCCACCCACGTCACATTATATTTTATAAATTACATATAAATGTTCTTGAAACAATATATTGTTTACTTGTTTATCAAACACTAGAAAATAAAGTAAGAAAATCACTTATTTTTCAAAAAAACAAACAAAAATATTTTCTTTAAATGCTTTTCTTTTTTCAAACGAATCCACTAACTTTTATTTAATTCTTATTATTAAATTCATAAAAATATTTAATTGTGAGCCCAATAATTATGATGACTATAATAAATTCAAGGGAAATTTAAAATACATAATCTTCACAATTGGACTCCGTCTCCAACTAGGACGACTATTTGTGTTGCAATTTGTAAGGGTCTTGTACGGTAAGATGTGCAAGTCTTCTTTTTACACTATATCAAACACTTAATAATCAATTGTATACTAAGAAGGCTTGATTAAATCCATTGATTAAGAAGGCTTCTTTAACAAGCGAAAACCATTTCAAAAAGTGATCTGCATATTTTCCGGAGAGGAAAGAATGTGCTTAGCTCTAAGAATAGTTTACTTATTAAAAAGCAAAACATACAATATAAACAGTCAAACAGAACAAGTGGATTGCAATAAATATCCAGAAATTATCATCAATAGTTTCAACGTTTATGTGTGAAGCTCTACTGAAATTAACCCATAATCTTAAAAATATAACAGATTTAATGATAAGAACTTTAAAGATTAACCCGTAAAGCTTAAATCGTGGATCCAACCCACCCAACCCTGGAAAAATTTCAAATGTTAATCACATAGAGAATCAGGAAAAGTTCCATGAAGAACATTATATCAATCAATTCATTACACCCTTCACTCTTATTTTCAGATCATTTGATTTCGATATTGCTAAATAATTTGTCTTTTTAAGACGAAAGCAAATCTCCCACCCCCCACCTCCACAGAAAAAAAGAAAAAAAATTAAAAAGGAAGGAAAAGAGATTATGGTTTTTAGTAGGTGTGTCTTGGCTAGATTCCCCATATTTCAAGTGGAGAAATTCTCAAAAAAAATAATAATAATAAAGAGGCACCAGAACTTGGCCTGTGAAAATTGCATACCTATAAAAGCAAAACCCTGTAATACTTATTCCAAAACTTTGACCATATATAGCAAAAATTCTTACTTCAGAAACGTTATTTAGTCATCAAGTCAGTTACTTCTATTGCAGTTTACTTCTTTATTCTCCTAGCTTACTTTTCCAGATAACCTGGCAGCTAAAGGCTATGCAATTTCATAAATGGAAATTTAAGCAGGATTAACTTAACAGATTTTCACCCCTGAATTCAAAGTTAAAGACAAACAGTTCGAAATGTAAGGCATTTTGGTGCAGTAAAGATCACTGCATATAAAGTGCAGTGAAATACCTCTTCTTCCTAAATGAAATCTTACAAGGAAATAAAGTGCATGTGGGGCACAAAACAGGAGACAGATTAAAGCTTGTATAGCTTACTATTTTCCGTCTATTGAGATAGGTATAGGCTAACACCTAGGCCACATGAGAAATGAGCAAAAGACAAATAAGCAAAAGGGATTAACCTCATGATGAAAACTAAAACTAACTTTTTAACTAAACAAGATTAGATACCTGGCATTTGAGCATGGTAAACATCAGTAATATCAAATTTTCAGCCTAAAAAAGGTGTTTAATATGAGGGAAGACACACACACAGAAAAATCAGATTACTTTCTGCAATGTATGTGAGCCTACAAAGCCATAGGTTAGTAAATACTTTCAAATATGAAAATCAACAGATGCTGGGATAAAACTCAAAAAGATTAGTCAGAAAGCTTCAGCAGAAAGATGTAGTGGTCACTTTCCTATCATATGCCAATAAAGCAAACCAAACAGCATAAAAGGGCCTGTTTACCAAGGTTTCGACATACGAAAATCTATAAGAAATACCATGATATCCCTACGTGATGTCTACCATGTTGTGGCAGCCACTATACCTTTATATGTTGTCATGATCTTAGCCTATATCTCTGTAAGGTGGGGGAAACTCTTTTCACCAGAGCAATGCTCTGGAATCAACAAGTTTGTAGCGAAATTTTCAATACCTTTATTGTCCTTCCAAGTGATATCAGGAAGCAACCTCTACAAAGTAAACCTGAAGCTTCTATTAGCAGATTTCATTCAAAAATTTCTTGCTGTCTTTCTACTGGCAATTTTTGCCAAACTAAAGCCCAAAGGAAACCTGACTTGGATCATAACAGGTCTTTCAGTTTCCACCCTTCCAAACACCTTAATCTTGGGGATCCCGCTAATTAAGGCCATTTTTGGTGATGCGGCAGCAGAACTACTAGCGCAACTAATTGCACTACAGAGTTTAGTCTGGTACAACCTCCTCCTACTCCTGTTCGAGCTCAATGCAACAAAAGAATCTTATGTGATGTCACCATCAGAAATAGCAGGTACGTACACAGATAACAGAATAATGGTTCCTAAACGTAGAAAATCTATTTGGATGGCATCCATGTAGCAGAACCTATTTTAAGCTCTCCAATTTTAACTGTTAAGAACCAAAAAAGCAATATATTGTAAATGTGATAAGTGAAAAAAGAATCCTATTCTGGGCCCCACAAATTCCAGATTAGCCTGTATCATATGATCTTTAGATAAACTAATATGTGATATCGTGAAGCATGACAAAACTCTATTTAAGAAATGTTCCGTTTCCATTTTCAAAACTAGTCAGAATTCAAAACTAGAGGAATGAACCACAACTTGCTTCATCTCTTAAACTACATTGGTCAATCCTAAAACTTATTAATGTAGTTTGGCAGCAAAAACTCAAGAACTAAGAGGTGAACAGTCTCCAATGAAATATAAGTTTGCTTTACCAAAATGAATTGATTCATCTACTTGTGAGACACAAATACTTCCAACTCATCTAAATGAAACACACATGAAGTTTGCTGAGATAACCCCTTCAACAATGAAAAAAGTAGACAGTAGCCATAATTGGTCCCTAAAGTTCCGAATGAACCAAACTACTATACGATGCAACCATCCAGCTTGATTTTTACTTCCCTTAAGCCCCCCTCCCCACACCCCACCCCACCCCTGCCCCAAGAACAAAAAGAAAGAACAAAAAGAAAAATAGAATAGCTCACTAGAAGTTAGCAATGTGTAAGTTTTAAATAATGACCATTCCAACATGTCGACTATTTATGCAGACATCATTATGCATGCTCTTTTGTCTTAATACATAAATTTCTGCCATTTAAAGTTGAGCTTGAGGTCCCTGGAGAACCAGAACTAGAAAAGGACGGTGAGGAGGAAGCAACAGACAGACCCCCAAGGAAGAAAACAATTATGGTAATTCTTCTAACAGTTGGAAGGAAACTCATAATAAATCCTAATACACATGCAACTCTAGCCGGTATTATTTGGTCAAGCATACACTTCAGGTAATGCCTTACTAAGCCTCTCTAGAAACACAAAACCTATCTTCTACAGAAACTCCGCATTAAAAATCAATGGACTTATTTTTTTTACACAAAATGAAGTGCAGGTGGGGAGTCAATCTGCCAAAAATTGTTGAACAATCAATATCAATACTTTCAGATGGTGGACTAGGAATGGCAATGTTTAGCATAGGTACACAACAGAAAATAAGCACTCATCACACGAAGTACTAGCGAATTACTGAAAAACGAAAAATGGCCAGCTACTCATATTGCATTAATTCAACAGGTGTTTTCATGGCATCCCAAGCTAATATTATAGCATGCGGAACCAAAAAGGCAATATTAGCAATGGCACTGAAGTTTGTTCTTGGACCTGTTCTCATGGCAATCTCATCTATTGCTGTTGGACTAAGGGGACAATTGTTTAGATTGGCAATAGTACAGGTGAAACTAAATTGTTTTCTGTTGTCAATTCATGACAGATTACTCAATGCTGTACTTTCTACTGCAGGCAGCCCTTCCCCAAGGAATCGTTCCTTTTGTGTTTGCCAAGGAGTATAACATACATCCAACCATCTTAAGTACAGGGTACCAGATACAATTATCATCTCAAAACTTTTAATTCCTCCACTAAGAAAATTTTTAAGCAGATATGATTTCTGATGTGGTTTCATTCTGATCGCAGGGTAATCTTTGGCATGCTGATTGCAATACCAATTGCTTTGGCATATTATTTCTTGTTGGAAATATGAAACTCAGACATGGTCATCGCAGTTAGCAGTTATTCACAGATTCATCAGAGATACAGTTTGCTCTTCTCTAACAACATTCAACTGTAGAGGGTTACGATAAAGAAAAGGCAAAAATCTTAGTGACAGTTCTTGTATAAAAGAATAAAGGATGAACGTGTGTCAATTTATCTTACCAACTCATTTATTATATTAAAACAAGAGCAAGCAATTAGCATGCATGAATAAAATCCAATTTCAGCAATGAATAGTCTCCGAGTTCAAACATTTCAGAGAGAGAGAATGACATGAACGGTATTGATGAGAGCATGTCATTATCTGTTCTCTACACAAAATTACAGGAAACCTAAATACAAACCAGATACAATATGAGTAAAAAGGGGAACAACCACAGAAATGAAACAAGTTTTACTACAATTTAACTATTAAAGGATTACAACTGTTGACTTAAGAAAACAAAGAAATGAAATACTAGAGACTAACATAAAAGAGTTCCTATATTATCAAAGAGAACAACTAGGAGGTGATCCAGATCAAGAAACTTAAAGATAGTCAGCAGTCAGCACATGTTTGAACGACAAAACTAATGAATTCACAAGTATAGCATCATATCAATAGATACTACAACTGAGGTAAATACTCAAACTTAAACAACAGATGATATCACATTCTGCAAATTAAAGTAGGATAAACAGCAAAGGTCCACCACATCCGAGATAGCACTTGATTGAGCTAAAATAGTTAAAACCTTATTCCATAATTGCCCACATTAAACATCCAACTACAAAATACATAATACATAGTAAATTTGCAAGGCACAAAATGCGCAATTAAGGTATAAGCATGAGAGAAGCAAATCCGATTAACAGTAATTAACTATATTCACTCACTCTACATCAAAACCTTTCTCTTGAAGCTCAGAAATGACCTCATTCCTCATCCTTGTCCATAGCTTGAAGGCTTCTTGGTCAACTTTCTTATCCTGCAATGCTTTCTGATAATTGTATGAATCTTTATCAGATTCAATGATTCCCTTGGGACCAATGGTAGTCCCAATCATCCCACCTTTGGCAACGAATTCTTCCATGGCCTTGTCGTCACCTGGATATGGAAATTTCCGGCGTTCGTAAAGATGTGCTAATTCTTTTTCTTCCTTTGGCCGTGGCTTTAAGGTCCACCAACCAAGCGGCGAAGTTTCATTCCACACCCACGCCACACCAAACAGAGTGTAAGTACAGAGCAAAGCCTTTCCCACTTGCTTCCAGAAGTGATAATCTTCTTTCCCTAATCCGACTCTCTTCAGATACTTCTGGGCATCGAATGATTTTGCCATGGAAGCACCTGCTTTGGTACGCATATTTGGGCGAAAAGGCTTTGTTAATTGCTACTGTCCAGTTAAAAAAGAGTGGGATCGACAATCAATCCCCTAATGTATTAATTGACGCGGTGGTTTGTGGGATTCTATCTCAATTTACCCTGAAAAAAAAAAGAGAAAATAATTTAACTGTAAACTTAGTTCACCTCACATGAGAATTAGCATGTTTAAAAATAAAAATAAATTAGATTTTGAAAAAAAAAACTGGAATAGTTCAAACTCGTAAAAGTGTATGCTCCAGACATTAAATGGTTTATCGGTGATTAATTTAGATTTATTTATAAAATTACTTTTATTTATGTTTTAATAATAAAGTTGTAAAATTGAATATATATTTATGCCCGTAGATTCATGAGGCCTACACCAAATTTCGTTCAATATAAACACTTTGTGAATCGTTTCACACTTCACCTCTTAAAATATTGGCGGGGATCATAGATATAATGTCTATCATAATGAAATAGAAGTTTTATATAACAGTTATAAGTAATGGCGAGCTACAGTGGGCTGAGGTGTCCAATTAAACACTATTCGATGAAAAATTATGTTGTGTATATATAGATAAAATATTATTTAATATGGTTATATATATTAAGTTTTGGACACCCTTGCAACAACTTGATGGGGTGGCTGAGAATATATTTGTGAATAGCAGAAGCAAATCAACGTGCCTGCCTCTGTACATCTATATATATATAGGAAATCATCTACAGATATACTTACACATAAGTAAGAGTCCTAATAAGAGTCTAAGAGTCCTAACAAGAGTCCTAATACGCCCCCTCAATCTGAACGGGCAGAAATGAAAGACAGATTGTCACGCAAAAAGGAAAACTGAGACGATGATAATCCTTTTGTAAAAATACCAGCAAACTGTAATCGAGTTGGCACATATTCTACAACAAGAGATCCTTGAGCGACTTTATCACGAACATAGTGAAAATCCACATCAATATGTTTGGACCGATCATGAAACACTGGATTGCGAGTCATATACATAGAGCTAACATTGTCACACATTACACGAATTGGTTCACGGAGATATACACTAAGCTCAGAAAGAACATGTTGAATCCAAGTGGTTTCAGTAACAGTGTAGGCAATGGCTCTATATTCGGCTTTAGTAGAAGATCTAGAGACAGTAGGTTGCTTCTTCGCACGCCAAAAGATAAGATTAGATCCCAAAAATACTGCAAATCCAGTAATGGAACGCCGACTATCTGGGCAGCCGGCCCAATCAGCATCAGAATAGGCCACCATTCTAGACGTAGATGATGATGCGCTCATAAAAAAACCATGTGTAATAGTACCTTGCAAGTACCTAAAGATACGCTTCACTGAGTGCAGATGAGTAGTACGAGGAGCATGCATAAATTGAGAAACAACACTTACAGCATAAGCAATATTAGGACGAGTCAAAGTTAAATATTGAAGTGCACCTACCATGCTCCGATATTCAGTAGGATCTGAAAACAACTCACCATCCACAAGTGAAAGGGAAGTTCGAGAAACAAAAGGGGTATGAACGGGCTTGCAAGTATGCATATGAAACTTAAGCAATAAATCAGATACATATTTTTGCTGAGATAGATGAAGACTAGTAGATGTACGGGTAGCATGGACACCAAGAAAGTAATGGAGATCACCAAGATCTTTCATGGCAAATTGACGTGAAAGACACTTAATGAAATCATCAACTATAGAAACATGACTTCCAGTAAGGATAATATCATCAACATAGAGTAATAAAATGAGAATTCCAGATGAATAGTGACGAATAAACATAGAGGAATCTGATTTACTACTAACAAATCCATTATTAAGAAGAAATGTACTAAAGCGATGAAACCAAGCACGGGGAGCCTGTTTCAAACCATAAATAGCTTTGGTTAGTTTGCATATGTAATGAGGATAATCAGGATGAATAAATCCTGGTGGTTGTTTCATGAACACCTCTTCACAAAGCACACCATGTAAAAATGTATTTTTAACATCTAATTGACGAATTAACCATGAATGAGAGATGGCAAGAGAAAGGACAATGCGAACAGTTGTGGCCTGGACAACAGGACTAAAGGTCTCATGATAGTCAATACCAGGTTGTTGGTGAAATCCCTGTGCTACAAGACGAGCTTTCTATCGCTCAACAGAACCATCTGAATTATACTTAATGTGATAAACCCATTTACAACCGACCAAGTTCATGTTGGGGTTATAAGGAACAAGAACCCAAGTTTGATTAGCCAAAAGAGCATTGAATTCATCAGCCATGGCAGTTTGCCACTTAGTTCACAGCTTGAAAGAAGCACGAAGGTTCAATGTGAGAGACGATTGAACTTAGGGAAAATAATTGCTTAGGCTTAGAAATTCCAGATTTGGAGCGAGTTTGCATAGGATGAGCGACAATAGTAGAGGTGGATGTAGAAGGAGCAGAAACACACGTATGTGAACTCGACCCTCCATGAGACATCCCAATAGAGGAAGATGGATCAAGAGTCTGAATCGCAGGATCATTAGAAGAGTCTAAAGAACCTGAAGACGAAAAAGAATGAGCAGAATCTACTTGAGAACTTATAGAGGAAAAAAAAATAGTATGGGACACACATGAGTTTAAAGGTGAAATGACTACAAGAGGGTCAAAATGAAGAGACGGAGATATAGGGTCAGGAGATAACTCAGAATATGGAAAGGCTAACTCATGAAAAGTGACATGATGATTAATGTAGGCACGACCTATTTTTGGATCCAAACAACGATATCATTTATAATTAGAAGCATAGCCTAAAAAAACACAACGAACTGAACGAGGGTCAAGTTTATTTGAAGTTCGAGAAGATACATATGGAAAACATTCACAACCGAACACCTTGAGAAAATTATAATCAGGAGGAGTTTGAAAAAGTTTCTCAAATGGAGAAATTCCATGTAAAAGTTTGGTACGAAGCTTTTCAAGCGATAAGTGACCAGGAAAATGTGTAATGATGCCAACCAATGTGTCATACTCTTTTCCAAGGCCAAGTAAAACATGATCAATGAAATCCTGAGAAAGGACGGGTAAATTAATTGTTGCAAGAGAATCAGCTAGTTGTTTGGCATTGCGAAGGTACTGATCAATACTCATCTGATCATCCTTTCGCAGGGTAGTGAGTTGGCGTTTCAACTCAATAGATTTAGCCTGACTCGCATCCATAAAGCATCGATGTAAGGATAACCATATATCTCTAGATGTAGGAAGGAGATGAACATCAAGAAGAACGTCACGAGATAGTGTTGCGAATAACCAAGAACTGACACTTTGATCAATTTTTATCCAAGAGCGATAGAGAGGATTTGGTTGGTGATTGCCAGATGCATCACCAAGAAGAGGAGAAGGGTAAGAAATTGAGCCATCAACGAACCCCATAAGCTCGTGCGAAAGTAGTAGAGAGGTGAATTGAGTGCGCCATGTGAGGTAGTCCTCCACAGAACCTAACTTAATAGTCACTAAATTGGTGACATTAAGGGTAGCAAGAGCAGCAACAGAATTGAAAATTGGTAGAGTCTGAGAATCTATGCTAACGGGAGGAGGCAGACCAAAGAAGGGAAAGCTTGAACCTGCAATAGTACTGACGCTAGAAGGAAAACTTAAAGGAAGACTTGAACCTGGAATAATAGTGACGCTAGAAGGAACGATTGGTGTAGTGGAAGATGAATACGCCATGTCGTAGAGAAGAAATTAGATGGATTTCTGGCTATCTGATACCATGAGAATATATTTGTGAATAGCAGAAGCAAATCAACGTGCCTGCCTCTGTACATCTATATATATATATGAAATCATCTACAGATATACTTACACATAAGTAAGAGTCCTAATAAGAGTCTAAGAGTCCTAATAGTGGCTTAGTGGTAGAAAGACTCCATGAAGAACCAAGTGTCATGACTTGCCACTTTGTCATTCCAAATTTGCATAAAACATAGTAAGAGGGTAGAATCTAGAGTTATAGAGAGGTTAGAGAAAGACTCTAAAATTCCCTATATCTTTTCTTAAAAGATTTTAGAATGCATTACAAATATCTTAGAAAGGGACTAGATGGTAAATAAGTAAGGACTTGTATAGTGATTTTTATTTACCCTTTAGTCTCCTAGGAAATACTATAAATAGAGGGCTCTCATTTGTAAATTCTGCAAGTAGTTATTTTATTTTTTTTAAATAGCTTTAATTAAGTAATATCCAATCAATTTATTACTTTTTATATCATTAATTAAGTTATTATAATAGTTAATAAATTTGTTATTTCTGATTAAAATAACAATTAATTAGTGACGTAAAATGTTAAAGATATAAAGAATGAATAAATATATCAATCGCCAATTGAATTACAAATGAATGTGTCTTTAATTTGTTTGTAAATTTCATTAAAATTTAAATAAAACTTAAATGTTATTCTATAACTTTGCCAAAATCGAAAGTAAAAATGGTACATTGGTTGATTCTACTTTTTGTTCTTATATCTCCTTGTTATCGTTACTGTTGTCAAAAGTCGATAACAACTCAAAACTCAAAAATACTGTTATCAAAAGTCAGTAACAACTCAAACTGAAAAATGATTTTTGTTAAAGAGTATACCATTATAATTGGTACTCATTATCAGTTGGATCAACTGAACACTTTAAAGATGAATGTAAACAATTTTGGCAAGGCAACTGCACTGCTCTAACGCAAGCGGCTTCCAAATTCTCTTTTCATCATTTCAAGTGAAATCGACACAGAAGCTGGTTTTAACAAAGTGGCAAAGTATGGATTGATTGTTGCTCTTAAGCCACATACTAGTGGGTTTGGAGATATGAGACGCTAGTCAAATTGTAATTATATTTATTCTGTAGCGATTTATGTTTCGACTATAAAAATTACTAGGCGGTTGCCAAAATCTATTTTTTTTTCTAAGTTGATACATTCACTCTCTCTCGTGAAACTGGTTTGGTGTCATTTTTCTTGTTAT